ATTAAGGTATGATCTAAACCCTAATTATATGTTGTATTGATTATCATATGTTAGATCTAGGGTTTATAGTCTTGGATAAATTGCATGTACAATAGAGAAACCTAGATCCAAGCATTATGGTTTGTATGAGCACATAGGATGTTCTTATGACTAAAACCTATAAATAAAGAAGGTCGAAAATGAAGCTCATATACGAGGGATATGATTTTTCAAAGCATGCGATATTTTACATGCGAGAGGTGACATGGACCATCCCGAATGTCCCACGTGGCACCAGACAAAACCCTTTCTCTTTCCAACAGACGAGCTGGCGTGCCACTATAGAAGTGTGACATAGGGGAGTGATGTCTCGTCCCTTTAATGTGCAGTGTGTTTCTCAAGCAAACCCCCTATAAATACCAAGTAGAGAGCTGCGATGTCGGAAAGCCCCACGCAAAGAAGTATTCAATGTCAAAGTTTTACCTGCAAAGTTTCTGAGTTTTCATTAGAAAACTTGTAAGTTGAGTTGCATTTACTATGCTTTTAAGTATAACTCATATTCATCATCATTGTCGTTATTATGAACCTTTGAATAAGATTTATCAGTATTTGCACTTATAATACTGATTAATCTACTTATGGAAGTGATGTCTAGGCAAAATCTTAATGAGATGTTTCAAGTGGATTTTCCAAACAGGATATTTATATACCAAATATATCCTACCTCCAATATGATCTTACCTAGTCATTTCTTATTTGATAGAACTCGGTATTCATTCGGATTAATGATGAATTTGGAAATAGTTAATATAACCTTATGAATACGATTGAATACTAAAACATAGTAATATTTGTATTTACGTCATTTAAAAAGGGAAATTTTAAGTGTTAGATGAGGAGCTAACTTTCCCATAAATCTTCCATATCAATCAGGTGAGTGCATAGTTACTTTCATGAACATGATTTTAATACAAATATTTATTTAAAATCATGCCTTGTATTGTAAGTATGTAGCTAGTTTCGTAAACATGAATTTAGTTAAAGGCTATGTTTGGCGGACTAGCTGAAAAGCTAGTTGTTAGATGAAAAGCTAGCTGGTGGCTGAAAAGCTAGCTGTTAAATAAAAAGCTAGCTGATAGCTGAAAAGCTAGCTGATAAAAAATAACGTTTAGTAAAACTAGCTGAAAAGCTAGCTGAAATATATAAAATTACATAAAAGGACATGTAAGAATATGTGTTTCAATAATTAATTAAGAGGTGTATTTGGAAAAATTTTAAAAAACTACTAAAAAGCTAGTCTAAGTAGCTTTTCAAAAAGCTAGCTCATAAGCTACTTTTTGGCTTACCAAACACGACAACATAAAAAAGCTCGAAAAATAAGCTAGCTTATCAGCTAGCTGTGGCGCGTCAAACACAGCCAAAGTATCTTATATTATTAAATGTGTATATATGTATTGAATGCTTATTACCTAGAACTATGTTAAGTATATATTTGGTAACATTACATGATAATCTTAATAAAAGTATCACTAGTTTTATTGGAAGTTAGTTACATGTATTGTGGTTTTGTCTAGTTATAAACTAATACTTATATAAGATACTTAGTTCAAAGTAAGTTGAATAAGTGTTTAGTTAAACCATGTATTGTAGTCTTTTCTAGTTATAAACAAAGGCTTAAGAGGGATGCTTAGTTCAAATAAGTTTTATATTAGGTACAGGTGTGTGTGTGTGATTAGAACGAAAAGTAGAGCTCTATTATATGACACTATTGCGTGTCGGGATACATGTTACGTACCAAGTATTTTACTAGTATTCCTTCTGTTTTTTAGAAAGCTAGAGATGGTGTGTATGTATTAAGCAACTGATGAGGTATGTGTGATCATATATTGTAGTAAGATGATAGCCGCCAACTAAACTGTCTTGTGGAACCCTAGAAGACTCATAAATTTTAAGTATTAATGAATTATATTTATTAAGTGAAAACCATTATGTGTTCATTCGTTTACTCTATCCCCTCATGGTTTCCTTATTGACTTTTAACTGCCAAGGAATCCCCAAAGAGGAATGGTCTTCTTGTTGCTTAGTGTGATCTATCAGGATAGATCTCAACATATCATTGTTATAGGATCAGTGTGTAAGAACCGATGGGTAGGGTAACTAAGGATAAAAGGTATAATGTCTTATAGATATTTATGGTGTGTGAATTTTTTTGGTAACAATTGGTTTGTAGGTTTGTTAATTATGGATTATTATCATAATAATATTGTAGGATTGAAAACCCTATGTGTCTCACCATGTTCTCAAACCTGACCCACTCAAATTATATGCATCACACATAGTGGTGCTAAGGATACTGGAACTTGAATAGGATGTCGAGTGATTAAAGAGACGACCTAAAATAGTATTTAAGAATGATAGGTCTTTACGCTATAACTTATGTTGTGTATTGATTTTCACATCATTAGGAGGATATTACTAACATAATGAAAATATTAGCAACATCGACTGTCGACTGTTGTCAAACTCAATATTATACATTCCTTCTTCTCTGAGACGAGTAACCTTGTCGCGTTCCAATGGATTCTCTTATGATGATCCTTCCGATCATCTCTGAAACATTTGGGAAAATCACACAAAAGACAATAGCTTGTGCTTCATGTGCTCACTAAAATGATTGTAGCTCCCATGGTTTCCTGAACGAAAATCAATAGGTTTGAACCTATCTGTTAATGTTGGTGTTGAACCTGCACATGTTCTTTCATCCATTAATGGAATTTCAGTCCTAACTCATGAATCACAAACTTTGCTTTCATCAGAGACTACTACTCCTTTCTAAATTGGTTTGTAAACTCAACCTATGAAAAGGTACTTACTTTGGCTATTGTAATCGACCGACTGGTGCATGATGTAATGGATACATAACAAACTACAATCTTGCCTTTATGACACAAATATTAACTCCAAAGACACCTTTTAACTTGTATTAACAACCTAATCTTTCCTCTTTTGGTCAAGGTAGAACGACTAGTGAGTACTAGAATTTGCACAGACAAGGTTTGAAAACTCAAAACTTGAATTAACCAAACGTCAATGATTGCTTATAATAAGAGATCCAGTCAAGTCTAAATAAACCAGTCATGCCTTAAAGTAAATAAGTCAACAACGTGTTCTAGATGATTAATATAAAGTATGGATAATGTAAAGAAAATAAGAACAAGAAGAATGTTAGAGAGAAATGATTGACTAAATGATTCTTTTATTTGATAGAAGTGAATTATTCTTAAGTTGCACTACAGATCCACACATATTACAAAGGCTGACACTCCTTTTATAGACAAAGGAGGCACGTGAGACAAATTCTAAACAAAGTATGCTTGGACTACAAATCAACAGCCTGGAACAACCGTTTGTTGTTGATCTTGTCTGTTGTACTATACTTTGTTACAAACAGAAAACAACAAACAAGTACTTCGCTTCTAAAAAACATGTTAACTAAATTAAAACAATAACATCTCGAAAATCTTTATACTTCGAAAGCCACACTCTATCTCATACTTTGGATCATCTCGGAACGACACATCATCTTGGAGTCAATAAGGAGTACTTTCATGTAGTATCAATATCCCCTAAGTGTGATTATCAATCCTGATTCGATTCTTCAAAGGAAAACATGTAGGCTTTCTGCATTCAGCTTCTGATATCAATGAACCACTTAATTTGATCAAAAAACTCTTGATTTCTTTGGAAGCTTTGGTATTGTCTACCTTCGAACTGAATCTATGAGAAATTGTCGTAGGAACCAGATACTTGTCGAATCTGATAAATTATTTATTTCCCATGCTTTTCCTTAAGTAGACGAATCCAAGCTCAGGTTATCTGATAAGGCTTCATCAAGGATATTAACTCCATCAAAACCAGTAGAGAGATAGGCGATAATTTTATCAATTTTGAATAAGTCAGCGAACTATACATCTGATCTTCCTAATTCAGCCACATACTCTTCCAAGTAGTTAGGAGACAAGTTGTATGCTCTTGTATTGAACTCTGAGGTTTGTTTATCTTTGAGACGAGTTGCAATGACAAGAATGCCATTAGGATTTATTAATGGAATATCAACATCCGAGATCTTAATCTTTTCTCGAGAGTTCCGGTAGATGTACTAGTAGTACAGGATGCAACTGAGATCATTTTTTTCGAGGATACTTGTTCCAAAACCACTAAAATTGGCGATTAAGAACTTTGGCCAAGTTATGTCTTGAGTAAGTGCATTGGTGGTGTAGAACGTTTTTAGCAATTATCCCTCCGTTCGAATCAGAGTCTCTTTTTCATCATAGGGGTAAAGTGGAGCAAATCTGACATAGAATCTTCTATGAAGAGAGATGGGAAGATCTATTTGCTTAAAATTATTGGTTGAAAAGCATAACTTTTGAAGGGCACGAAATGATCATGGTAGACCATTCCTTGAGGATAGTATGGAGAGATTCATGTGAAGGGACTCAAATTATCTTTTAGAGCTTGAATTTGGAGGATCTCTTCCATTGCTTTATCAATTTCATCCATAAACCAACCTTTTTTTGTTCAATGTCTTCACTGGACTGATTCATCAGAAGTTGATTCCTTTGCCTTTGTCTTTCATAGGGGCATTTAGAGTGGAGGTGGAGGAGATAATTTGTTGAGCAACAAGAGTGATGAACAATTCCGAGGGACGAGGAATCAAAGGCTCCTTGGGTGGATAATCGGATTTCTTGATTGGCGAGCCAATATCAATATGCCAGATTGTCAGGGTTGGAATGGGAGGAGGCATTGATTGGGTAGCTCGGAATGTATCTTCTGTCATTTTAGTTTTCAACTTGTCCATCTTACAAATTTGTTTGAATGATTCGATAAGATTGGATGGCCAACAGACAAATGACCATTTTTATTCTCCTTTTCTTAGAGGATATTGATAACCGATGGTTGTTCCTTGATGGATTGAGGCCTAATAATTGCATTCATCACTTGGTCATTTATGTCAAACTCATGTTCTATTTCAACCTCTTTTTCCATAATTTCAATTTGATCATCCGAATTTTCATCTTGGAGTTTTAAATCCGAGCTTGGTTTCCATAATGTCATCATCTCTCCCCCTCTTGCATGGGAAATCCCTGCTTCTGATGCAACAAAATCATCAGGCCTTAAATCATCCAATCATTTGAACACTCTTTTAAAGATTAGATTTAAATGCTTAGTAAGCTTGTCATATGCATCAATTGTGGGAGGTTGTTCTTTCAAAGTTTCAAGAGTCTCTTCCATAATCATGATAATTTCATCGACTTTTTGGTTCATAGTTTCCAAAAAGTGTTGTGCAGACCGAATCACTTTATTGAGTACTTGTTGCATGTTCATGTTGATTCCATCCTTTTTTCGAATCTCCTTCTCCAAATGTTGATATTTTTCATGTCGAACATGAGACTTCTTGATGAGTTCCTTGGTAGCAGAAATCATGTCGTCATGAATCTTGAGAATGGTGGAGATAGTGGAGATATGATGGTCGATATGTTATTTATATCGTGTCTCAACTTCTTCTAAGGTGCGCTTCAATCAGAGATAAATGAGTTGATCCAATTGGTTGGTTTGATCATGTTTTGAGGGAGCAACAACCTTGATCTAGGAAAGAGATTGGATCATTAATTTGAGTTATGAATCCAGTGATGCGACTTTCGTATTGAAGTTGTCAATGTTAATATCAAACTTTCCAACTTTATCTTGGAGCTCGAGATGATCAACTAGATCACCAATTTGATTTTTGAATCCAATGATGCGACTTTGGTATTGAAGTTGTCAATGTTAGTATCAAACTTTCCAACTTTATCTTGGCGGTCGAGAAGAGCAACTGGATCATCAATTTGGTTATTGGATGAACCTGTATCAGAACTTGATCCTCATATTTCTGGTCGTCATCATCATTCGAGTCATCAGAGTCTTCAGTACCCTTGGGTTCGTTCTCTTGATCACTTTGAGCTTGTTTTCCTTTGTCACCATCCTTGTCCTCAATATGAATTTCGTCCGTGGACAAGGATAAGCTGAAGTCATTTGGAACTTTGGATGTGGATGGAATAATATATGGAAATGTAGTTTGAGTTGGAAGAGCAGCAATCAAGGTGGAGTCTTCTTCGAATGTGACTTTAATGTCTTCTTCAATAGGAGGGTCATTCCGAGGAGGATCTTCCGGAATGAAAAAGGAATCAGGTACGTCTTCGCTCGATGTCTTCTCACCTTTGTTATTCAATGGATTATCTGTTTTACGGGAACATGTGACATCCCCATTTTCACGGCTAGAAAAGACCGATTTGTTTATGCTTTGTTTTATAAAATCAGAGTAATCTTTTCAAGAAAACGGTTGCGGAATTTGTTCCCAAAATAAGATATGATAATAACTTATCAAAACATTTCTCAAAGAGAATGTATTTTCATTTAATAATAAAACCTTGGGATGTCATGTTCCAATACAGACATATAAGCATAAACAGAACTTACATTCAATTACACTAATGATTTACATCTACTTTAATCTCTCAGTGCAAAGCAGCTTCGTATCGATACCTGTGATACAATTAAACTGAGTGGGTCAGGCTTGGGAGCCTGGTGAGCATATAGGGTTTTCAACCCACAATAATATAATTATTATATTCAATCATCAAACAATCAACCCAATTACCCATCCCCGTTATCTACATTTATTTCTTAAGTACCTTCCCTAAGGAATTATCCTAAGGGTCATCTCCTACATCGTATTTACCTCTCATCTCCTTACATCACATTTCCTTGTATGTTTGTTCCTAAGGACTTTTTCCTAAGGATCATCGCATGAATACGTAGTCACAACATCGCCTGGACTAGTAAGTGATAATAAGGGTTAGACTATCATCACATGAATACATAGCCACAACATCGCCTGGACTCGTAATTCATAGTAAGGGTTAGAGTATCATCGCATGAATACGTAGCCACAACATCGCCTCGACTCGTAATTCATCACCTACAGGTTATCAGCCTACTGGTGTTTCCACAGGGTCATCTAGAATAGTCCGTGGTCGCCATCTATACTCTGGTAGATGACTACATCGCCAAATTTCCACATCGCTGGTCAAGGTTATGGTATCTCCTCTCATCTCACATCACCTATTTATCATTACCTAATTATCATCACCTTTCTATCATCACCTATTTCTCATCACCTAATTATCATCACCTGTTTCTCATCACCATTTCATCTACCCATGTTCTACCCAACATATTTGTAGATATAAATTACATATATAGTTTAAATCATTTAACACCCATATAAAAACATCAATTCCAAGCCCATCTCATATAGACAATTAATATATAACACATAGCACGTATTTCATAGCTAATGCTTTATATTTATGTGTTTAGAAGAGAGTAACTGCACACTCACACATATAAACCACAATATATATACACATAACACGTATTTCGTATAAAATACTTCATAATTATGCGTTAGAAGAAAGTAACTACACACTCACTTGATCAAAAGAAGATCGGACAACACTACGGCTTGTAGAAGTAGTATTCTCCGGTAGATCTGGAAGATCTTCACAAAAACCGGACTCCTCGCGGGCAGAGCTTCGGCTCGAGAATTGCACTTCTCGGGATCTTCGGGGCCTCGGGACTTGCTTCGGGGCTCGGGAATGATACCGGGGCTTTGGGATATTTCTTGCACGAAAAACGATGCAAAAACACGAGAAAACGGGAAGAAATGAGCAACTGAATCAATTGCACTCGACTTCCTTTTATAGGGGACTGAAGCCCGATTTACGCGAGGCGTAAATTTCATTACGCAGGGTGTAACGACGATAAGGTCGCTGACTCCCTCCATGGATAATATCAGCCAATTTTTATTTAAATTAAATATCGAAATTATTAAATAAACTTCAAGAATTCATATCTTCCTCATACGAACTCCGTTTTCAACGTTCTTTATATCCACGCATAGGTAAGACTACGATCTACAACTTTCGTTTAGACTCCGTCGGCTAATTTTGACTTTATTTTAATTATTTATTTTTAGTAGGTCGGGACAGGAAAACTCCGTTATAAAATCATAACTTCTTCATCCGACGTCCGTTTTCGCCTATCTTTTTATCGTTTTACTACAATTAATGAGATCTTCAATTCTCATTTAGATTGTTTCGGCTAAAAACTGCTCGGTCTCAAATCGAGCATTCGGGCTGCATAATGCTAAGTCGAAACTTCGAAAAATCATAACTTCCTCATACGAAGTCATATTTGGGCGTTCTTTTTATGCACGCTCATGGTTTAACGTATTCTTCGACTTTCATTTAGATTGCTAAGGCTAAATATCGCTCTAACGTAAATTCACTTTTTACGTCGCGCTGTGTCGTGCCGGTTCTGTCGCGAAACTTCGACAGGTCATAACTTCTTCGTTATAACTCGGATTTTGGCGTTCTTTATATGTACGGAAACCTTGTAACATATACTATAACGTAGTTAAGATTATTCATTCTAAATAATATTTCATCAAAAATTCATTTTTGACGCCTATCGTCTCTAAATTGACTAGCCCGAATCTACGGGCGTTACAATTATCTCCCCCTTAGGATGATTATGTCCTGAAATCATTAACGAAATAGGATTCGTATACAGACTCCATAAGTTATCTCTCCATCCTAAGTAATAACCTTGATGCTCAATCCTGCATCTACTCTTCGTACTATGTTGGACTTTCAATCGAAATCTTAAAGTTACAAAAATAAATCCTTATCGTGTACTCCTTCTTCTTCTTAGGGTAAATACATTCATTCATCTATTTTAACTAACCGATGGGTCGAGTCCCAATGACCTATCATCGTAGTCGGACTCAATTTAATATGACCATTGGGGTCGGAATAACCATCATCCCACTAGCCATTACCGAAACAAGGGTAATGACAAACTTGAATAAAACGAAATCAATTACTAGCTTCTTGGTAACCTTGCGACTTTCCCTAATCCAAGTGCGAGTCTTGTGCTTCCGGTAGTATAGATCTCTACTACCATTCACACCTACTCATACTCGTCCCAAGTATTGTCTCGCAGTTAACCAAGTCACCATACATAAATCATATAATCATTCAACACACCAGATAACAAAACCAGGGTTTATATTAATTCTTGAAACTATTACACAAAAGTTCAAGTTCACCCTATACTATGCCTCTAATAGGCTACATCATAAGTTACTATTCACACTGTTACTTCATAACTTGATCGTTGGATATAAATTCCTCATCCTTGATTCGCTTCGTCGAGGATCATGTGGAATGCCCATGGCTGTGGCGGTACATTTTTCTTTGCAACTTTGTCCTTCTTTGGGCAGTTCTTCAAAATATGACCACCATCTCCACATTCGTAACACTTCCTATTATCGAACGTACAATCTCTGGAATAGTGACTGATCCTACCACACTTATAGCAAGTCACTTCTCCATCGCATCTTCCGAAGTGCTTCTTCTTGCACTTTTCACACCACTTGGCTTCATCTTTTCCTCCGAATTTTGAGAGTTTGGTTTCTTTGTCGATCATTGAAGATCCCTCATGTTTCCTTTTCCCTCCAATTTCAACTCTCTCTAGACCCTTTTCCCTTATTTGGGTCTCAACATTCATGGCTGCCCAGATGGCGGCTTTCAGAGTGGTTGCTTGCTTGACTATCGGACCAAAGTCCGCTGGTAATCCATTGGCAAACTTGTTGACCTTGGAAAGTTCAGTTGGAATTAGGTTCATCTTCTCCGTAAAGCTTGTAGCGTATTCAGTGACGCTCAATTTTCCCTTCTTTAAATCCTGGAACTCGTTGTTGATTTCTAGAAGATCCTGCTCAGAGTAGTATTGCATTTTCATTTGCTCCACGAACTCTTCCCAAGACATCTTGCTAGCTTCCCCCCTTGGGCATTGAACGAGCCAGTAACTTCCACCAGCTCAGTACTCCAGATTTTAACAAAGGGATTGCAAGAGCGGTCTTCTGTCTGTTGCTACACTCGCAACTTTCAAACATTGTCTCCATCTCGAAGATCCAGTCCATGACTTGCACCGGTGTCGGGCTCCCAGAAAGACATGGTGGTTTGGATGCCATGAAATCCTTGTACTTGAATCCACGTCCATCATTGTCTCCATCCTGACTGTTTCGGCGAACTATTGGTGGGTTGGCTTGACCAATGGTCCCACTATAGTTCCCTTCTTCCGACTGCCCCTCATTCAGCTCAGGTTGTTCAACTTTTATTGAGGGTTCACTCCTGTTGTTCATCAACAATTGTCTCATTTCCTCCTTTTGTTCAACCATCATGGCTTGAATCATGGTTCGCACTCCAGCCATTGTAATTTGTTCAGGTGTTGCTGCTACAACAGCCACTCGCTCAACCACAGGTGGTTGATTCCCCATTTTCGTTCACATTTCCAGCTCTACTCCTGGTTCTTGTCATTTTTGATCTATACAACGAATAAGGTGAAATTATATCCTTATTCACGATAGATATTCAAATCATCCTTATCACTCCGAAACGTTTACATGCTAGTTCTAATATCGTAGACGTACGCTTAGAATCCTACACACATAAGGTTTCAAGATCCGGTCAGCAACAGACCATAGATCCGAACAAATAATATCATATATGGCAACATATAACATTTACCACATAAAAGCATTTTAGGCATCACTCCTAAAATAAACTAGTGCTTGTGTCAATTTAGGTGTACTACCTAACATATTTTAGACACACTCCTCACAATCATTACTTAGCATTCTAAGTTTAAGTCTAGAAATTTCCTACAATTTCCTAGTTCACTTAAACTAATGCTCTGATACCAACTGTGACATCCCCATTTTCATGGCCAGAAAAGACCGATTTGTTTATGCTTTGTTTTATAAAATCAGAGTAATCTTTTAAAGAAAACGGTTGCGGAATTTGTTCCCAAAATAAGATATGATAATAACTTATCAAAACATTTCTCAAAGAGAATGTATTTTCATTTAATAATAAAACCTTGGGATGTCATGTTCCGATACAGACATATAAGCATAAACAGAACTTACATTCAATTACACTAATGATTTACATCTCCTTTAATCTCTCAGTGCAAAGCAGCTTCGTATCGATACCTGTGATACAATTAAACTGAGTGGGTCAGGCTTGGGAGCCTGGTGAGCATATAGGGTTTTCAACCCACAATAATATAATTATTATATTCAATCATCAAACAATCAACCCAATTACCCATCCCCGTTATCTCCATTTATTTCTTAAGTACCTTCCCTAAGGAATTATCCTAAGGGTCATCTCCTACATCGTATTTACCTCTCATCTCCTTACATCACATTTCCTTGTATATTTGTTCCTAAGGATCATCGCATGAATACGTAGTCACAACATCGCCTGGACTAGTAAGTGATAATAAGGGTTAGACTATCATCGCATGAATACATAGCCACAACATCGCCTGGACTCGTAATTCATAGTAAGGGTTAGAGTATCATCGCATGAATACGTAGCCACAACATCGCCTCGACTCGTAATTCATCACCTACAGGTTATGAGCCTGCTGGTGTTTCCACGGGGTCATCTAGAATAGTCCGTGGTCGCCATATCTACTCTGGTAGATGACTACATCGCCAAATTTCCACATCGCCGGTCAAGGTTATGGTATCTCCTCTCATCTCACATCACCTATTTATCATTACCTAATTATCATCACCTTTCTATCATCACCTATTTCTCATCACCTAATT